CTAAACTACATTTTACAGAGAGATTTGCTACAAGTACACCCCCCTCACAAGAGGGGGCCCACGATTATTTTATTGGCCGTGGGCCCCCCTTCTTGTGAGGGGAGTGTCCGATGTACATTTAGCATTATTCTTTTACAGATTACCAATGTGGAAAATGGTGAAAGTTAATAACAAAAGTACATAAAATATGAAACCCCTTGACCCCCTCTCACCAATTTTTTTAAAAAGGAGATATATATATAATCCAATGTGAGAAAAGACAATTTTAGAAGCTCATATGGCTCTCTGGACCATTTAGAGCTGCAATGGCACCTTCTATCTTTGGTCTCAAAAGTTGTCTCTCCTCTTCATCTGCCTGAAAAAGTAGTTAAATATTTTATTAAAGTTGACAACAAAAGAAAAGAAAATATGCCCAAAAAAATAAATAAGACTTCAGTTCACATTAAGTATGTATTAGCCAACAATTTATGTGTTCGCGATTTTTGTCATCTCGAGAAAATTATTGTTCGTGCCAATTCAAAGACGAGATGTCTTGTTAACTAAAGGGAGGTAAAGCTCTAAAAAGTCATTGTCTAGAACATCAATTCACAATATCATGATGATACCATAGATTTTTTTTTTAAAAAAAAAAATGCGACAGAATCATCTAGAATCGAACGCTTCAAGCCATCCTCAACAAATGTTCATGGCACTCAAAATCTAAAGGCAGAAGAAGACGACTGTTGGTAAAAGTTGGTCGCAACCAGCTTATAATTAGATGAGAAAAAAATTTAATTATAATATGATGTATTAAAGCAATAATTTAATTAGGTAGCTATGATACTATTGAAAAAGAAAGATTTGTTTCTTACGCTAATTTTGTATTTTCATTAAAGTCTTGTGCTTTGTGTGGAATCAATTGCCTCAACAATGAAAACAAGAAAAAACTTTCAACAAAATATTTCCGACTTATGGACCCACAATTGACCAAAAATTGTACCATGCCCTCCATTATATAAAGTTTTTGTCTTGGATTTATGTAGGCAACATTATGTAACTTCGACATTTTTTAATAAAATAATTATTATTTTCTTCACATGTCACTAATGCTGATTTTGGTTAGGTCCTATTCTTTGACTTCTATAGGTATTCACATTGACACCAAAAAGGAGTTGGAACCAATGAGTTTTCATGTTCTAGATTATCCTCATTCAATATGAAAAATATATAGATTTTTCCCATAATTGTATATTATTTAAATAGTTCAAGCCGTTTTTTAATTTCAATTTGAGCATCAATTTTGTATTCAACTTAAATTATAAAACTACGTCTTTCATGGTTCACACGTGCAAGATAAGATTCAGTAGTTACTACAACAAAAGTGGTTACAATACATGTAATATAAGATTTGACAATTAACATGATAGTTGCTACGCACACGAGTATAAGACGTGCAAACAAATTGATGTATGTGCAAAGTGACATGTGCTTAATGGGCTACAAAGAGAACACACTAACACATACACCATACGGTTTGGTAGATTGTACAATCGATACGGAGGATTCACTTTAGAGAATAAATGGTTATAATTACAAAGCGTCGACACATGAGTACAAAATAGGCTAGGAAGAGAATATTACCTCAACAAATACTATCTTCAAAAGATTTTGAGAGAAAACAGTTATGTTGGTAGTAATGATTTTGAGCTTCAAAGATTCAAAAATCTCACAGAGCTTTACAATTGTGTATGCTCTATTGCTGCAAGTGAGGCTAATCACAACTGTCTTCTCCCCCACGTGGGATACCCTCAACTGCCCATTATTAATCAATTGCACAAAAAATAAAAAAAATTAATAAGTTGATTAATCAATTATCTATGATTAATAAATAACTTGTTTTTTCGGTAACAACGACAATACAGTATTGGACACTCTCAAAAAATAAAAAGAATCTAGAATCTTGTCAATAAAATTGTATTGTTTACCAAACATGCCCTGATGATTTATTTTAGTGAATTTTGTGCTGAATAAGAAAAAGAAACTAAAATCTTGTCCACTTATTGTCACCTGCAGCAATCGAGTTTTGAAGCAGAGAAAGGTAGGTACTACGAAGAACCCACCTCAAGAACTTCAATGGGAAATGATCTTGATGTTTTAGAATCATAGCCAAGATCCAATCTTGTTCTCTTTGGATTTGGACAAAAAGTAGTAGCCTCTTGATCAAAATCAAACATTGTACTATTTCCTGATGTAGCAGATTCCAGCTCTGATATTTCTAACTGAATTCTCCTCTTCTCTTTCTCCAACTTTTCAATATACTGAATGGCATCTCTGATTATTGATGCTTTATCCATCTAAATTCAAATCACCAATTCACCCAAAAAAGGAAACTTTTTAGCCCTTCTATTATAAGATAACTTAATGTTTTTTTTTTCCTGCGGATGGGGTGGGGTGAGGGGGGGGGGGGGGGGTCATGTTTATTACTGGGTAACCTTTGTAATATTGGGAACCACTGATCTCAATGCATAGAGCCTTTCATTGAGCATTTTCCTCCTATTCCTTTCTGAAACAATGTTCTTTGACGTCATTGATGAATTTGTTCCGTCAGGAGAGCTCGAATCATAGAGGGCAGATAATGTTTCATCGAAAAAACTGCGTCCATGTAGACAATCGAGTTAGTGTCTAGTTATCGTACATAAACGTGAATGTGAACACGACAAAAAAAAAATGATTCAAGAAATAACTTCATCAATCCACTCGATCACACTATAATCTAATTAAACACGGACTGAAACATGAAAGTGAGAATGAGAAAGAAGAAAGTACCCGTCGAGTTCTTGGGTTTGGAGAAACATATTGGTTTCCCAATAATTTGTATATTCATCGTTAATGTTTTCCATTGTGTGTGTGTGTGTGCGTGGGAGCTTTCGAGAGGGAGGGAGGGAGGGAGTGGAGGTGCTTCTGAAGGGACAGTGAGTGTTATTCTAAATGGCATTATTGCCATGTGTGGGGTTTTTATAGGAAATGTTCATAAAGCCATGTGCGATTTTTAAAATTATTATAATATGTAATCTTGATTGGTGATCATGGCCGTCCATGTACACTAACGAGTGGTCTACGAGGCCCTGTAAAGACGCTGTGTGTCTCAATTGAAATTGATGGGGACACTTTTTTTCTTATTTGTTAGCCCCAGTTTGAGTTAGGTTAAAATCATTTTTTTTTTTTTTAAATTTTGCTAAAAAATGAAAAAATATGTGATTAAAAAATTGTGGATTACCTGAAATGTATGATTAAAATTAATTGTTGATTTTGACTCGAAATTTTTATCAATATTTTTTTATCTACACAAAATATGGAAGAAATGCAATTGTCTGTACAATTTGAGCTTGTTTGACAACCATTTTTGTAGAAACAAAGAATTTTGAATAATGATTTTTTGGGAAATGTGTAGAAAAGTATTTGATATACGTGTATAATATTTTATGATGTGAATGTGTGGTTTAAAACAGTCGTGTGACAAATCATAAAATATATTAAGAGCTTGTTTGAAAGGAATTAAAATCAGATTAAAATTGAAAATATAGATGTTAGAGTTGACTTTTATTAGACGAGTGAGATCCAATAACGACTATATTTTCAATTTTAATTGGATTTTAATCCTTCCCAAACAAACCCTAAAAGAATATCAAACGGATACTTTATGTGCTCATGTGACCCGAGCAATTTGCATTGTAATTAGAGCCACACATTTTCAACTTTGTTTGTGCTATTAAGGTTTATAGAGATTGGACGTGTTACATCACCATCCAACAAAATAATCATACTATATGTACATCTTATTTTATATCATTTTTTACATTATGCCACGTGTCAATACATGATCAAACAATTTTAAAAAAAACACACACACACACACACTTTTTCGTCCAACACTTTTTGAATTTTCGCATAATGTATACCAAGATGTACTTTCACCATTTTCCTCTGTCTGTCCGACCGTGTCAATCTTCTTTAAGACCTAAGGACAAATTTGTCAAGGCGTCATAATAATAAATTATTTGTTTCTGATTAAAATCAGATTTCAATCTAAGTCAAAGTCAAACAATCAATAATAACCACATCTTTCATGGGTCCCACAATTTTTTAATCACACATTTTAAAAATTTCTATGACAATCTATTAAAAATTCAATTTTAATCCCTACCAAACACCCACAAAATTGGAAGAGCCAGTAAAACCACACGGGACGAGTTGAAACGTGGACATTGAAGCGAGCAATTTCCCATGGGAGAATATGACTTCAATATAAGAATTGTCCATGGGTGAACACGGCCACATGGACTGCTTAAGCCTCGTGAAAAAGTAGATTTACGCCAACTCCCCAAACTGTATCTTGGAATCCAATTAATCTTGATTAGAATCAAATCTACGTCCCTGTTTGTCAACTATTATTTTAAATCTCTCTCTTTCAAACTCGTTTCAACCACATATTCTCACAATAAAATATTTTGAATGTAAATCCAAAATTTATACCTACTTTTTAATCAAACATTATTAAAAAATTCACTATACTAAAACTCATTTTTATTGAATAATGACAGACAAACATGGACTAAATAGAACGCTGAATGCTAAATTAGGTTTGATCAGGACAGATCTCCAAAGTATCGATGCTCAGCTTCGCACTTGGATGACACAACGCACTACAATAAATGATGTGAGATAATGATTGGTTATAAAACTGAGTTAGTATACAAGTACAGAAATTTTTTATAGAATTGGTACAGAAATTTGAAATCAACAACTCAGATTCAAAGTTGGAAACAAAAAACACACACACAAATGCACAGGATGCTACCACAGTGACTCAAACATTGATTTCCTCTCCAACAACACAGTCAATGTCAAAGGATTTTGTAACAAAACTTTTGCTGAAAATTAATGAATTGTTCGATTGAACATAGTTGGCCGACGAGCACGCTCTGAGTGAAAAACGCAACTTTAGCAACAAAAAAATTGACAAGTCACGAGCAACTCTTGAGCCGGTTCGGCTTTTCAAACCAACGCTTGAGCTCGTGGGGTAGTTGAGCTAGACTTTGATTGAGTGTTCGTTCCATTTAATACCCCTAGATGAATATGATAGTGCAACCTAATATTATGCATTATTTTGGGGGTATTAACAATGCAACATTTTAAATATTTTAAGTGTAAGACGTTATTTAAAATAATACAATATAGTAAATACACACATTAAAAAGTCCGTTGGAGCCCCCATTTTTTTTTTTTTTTTAACCTAAAATGCATTTTGAAATTGTATTTTGATGGAGAACGTGTGGTTAAAAAATAAAAAAAAGTTTTGAATTTACATATAATATTATTTTATTGAAAAATTTGTGATTGAAAATGAAGGTAAGAAAAATGTATTTTAAATATAATGGAGACCAAACATGTTCTAAAAGGACAAAAGGCCGACAATATTTATCAGTTATCGTAAACAACCAATAATTTTTAAAAACGTTGATGAAATGATCAATCAAAGTCAAGTCATATTATCGAGACCTACGAACTTGATTCAGATACGTCACTATTGTAGGGACAAATTAATTAAGAAATGAAAACGTTGAGTAAATAAAACCTAGTTGGGCGATAATGCAATCACATTAAAATAAACAAACTTATTTGCACATTTTATTAGTTAGCCATTATGCAACACTATAAGACAAAATCAACTATTAGTTGGGTGATAATGCAATCACATTATAATTTTTAATGCATTTTTTTAATAAAAAAAATCATGTATTGTTTGTTGTTTTCGTGAAGAAAACGTCTCATTTTCACATTACCCATAAAAGCAATGCACAAGTCTTTCATGTAGCCTTCAATTTTGTCTTACGTAACTAAGTGAAGCCCTAGATTCAAGTGTAACATTAAGGATCAAGTAATATTGTTAAGTTGTATTAAATACAGGTGCGGAGCTACCACCCGACTAGCTAGGGTGACCGTTCGTGCTTGCTCCGTCGGATATAACGATCAGCCAACCGTCGCTTGCCTGCTAGCTCATCTACTCCATGCGAGCGATTTTCAGTTATTGTAATTGTATGATTCGTATAGGGTGACATGTTCAATGGTTATTGTAGCTCTTTCAAAATATGAGACATCGGAGAATGCAGTTGATTGAACTTACAGTTATAGTCTCACAGAATAA